AAGTAGGGCCAGAATGCTCCTTACAGGTAAAGATGGGGAGACTTTATCTCATGCACGTTAGCCATGCTGTCAGGAGAGACCAGTCCTTGGAGAAAGGCATCGTGCTTGGTAAAGTGGAGGGGCAGTGAAAAAGTGGACGGCCACCAGCCAGATGGATTGACACGGTGCCTGAAACACTGGGCTCCAACACAGGCACCATTGTGAGCATGGTGCAGGAGCAAGCAGTGTTTCCTTCTGAGGCACAAGTTCAAGGATGCTACTGAGATGCTGAGCTAGGGGCTGGGGACTGGCCTGGTCCATCTGTAACTTTGGAAAAATTCCCTGTGGGAACGTGACAGCTCAAGGATTCATGGATCAGGATGTGCAAAGTCAGAGTTTTGGCTCCCTAATCAGTTGTAGTCTCAGAAACTCACAGGGGCAGGTCCGCTCTGTCCTATAGAGTCGCTGTGAGTAGGAATTAACTTGGTGGCAGTGAGTTTGGCTTGTGAGGGCTATTTTTGGTGGTAGTGCAGTTGGCTAAGTACAGGATGAGTTACAAGGTTTGAGGTTCAAAGCCCCCACCTAGAAGTGCCTCAGAAGGCAGGCCTGCTTCCAAAAATCGCAGCTTTGAGAGAACCCTCTGGGGCAGTGCTGTTTTGCAGGAGTCAGAAACAACTTGCCAGTTCCTAATACCAGCACGGGGGTGCTTCAGTGGTCATAATGAGAGGTGGTTACTGGCATCTCGTGGGCAGAGGCCAGGGACAGGGCACCCCCACCCCCACCCCACAGAATGATCCAGGCCCCAGATGTCAAAGTCAAAAGGGCCAAGGCTACAAAACCCTATAATCCAGTGGCTCTCAACCTTCCTAATGCCTCGACCCTTTAATACAGTTCCTCATGTGGTGGGGACCCCCCCCAACCATAAAATTATTTTCATTGCTACTTTATCACTGTCATTTTGCTACTATTATAAATCAGGTGACTCTTGTGAAAGGGTTGTTTATAAATTATCAAGGGTTTGTGGAGGTAGGGTGGAGTGGAAAGCGGGAACTGATTACAAGAATCTACATATAATCTCCTTCCTGGGGGATGGGCAACAGAAAAGTGGATGAAGGGAGACGTCAGTGTAAGATATGACAAAGTAATAATAATTTATAAATTATCAAGGAGAGGGGGAGCAGGGAGGGAAGGGAAAAAGGAAGAGCTGATACCAAGGGCTCAAGTAGAAAGCAAATGTTTTAAGAATGATGATGGCAACAAATGTACAAATGTGCTTGACACAAGGGATGTATGTATGGATTGCGATAAGAGTTGTACGAGCCCCAAATAAAATGATTAAATAATTAAAAAAATTATCAAGGGTTCGTGAGGGAGGGGGGCAGGGGGGAAATCAGGAGCTGATATCAAGGGCTCAAGTAGAAAGAAAATGTTGAAAGTGATGATGGCAACATATGTCCAAATGTGCTTGACACTGGATTATATGTATGGATTGAAGTAAGAGCCCCCAATAAAATGATTAAAACAAAGAAGAAAAAAATAAGGAAACTGATTGTGGTAGCAATTGTACCATACTGCTTGATGTGATTGAACTATGAAATGATATAATATCTGTATTAAGCGATATAATAGTTTTGAGAAAAGAAAAACAACAACAAAGAAAAAGACTTACAGCCTTGGAAACCCTGTTTAGGTTTGTTAATGAGTCCAAACTGGCTTGATGGCAGTGGATTTGGATTTGTTTGTTGGCTCGAGGGCCAAGGAGTCCCTGGTCAGCCCAAACATGTGGCCCTGGAAATTCAGTGTAAAAGTCGGAGGTGCCGTCCCACTGAGAGAGTCCGCTTCAGAAAGGCCTGACCACCTGCTGTCACGAGAGCCCCGCAGAGTGCAGGTCCACCCTGACACAAGTGGGGTGGCCATGAGCGGCCAGCGATTCAGCAGCAAACTCGGTTCCCACTGCTTCCTCCCCATGTCCCTTCTCCAGTGCTCCGTCCTCAGTGGTCCCCAGGGTGGGAAGGGTCCTTGTCTGCCCTCCCACCAGCCTCCTCCACCTGCCCCGTGGCTGCCTGGAGACTAGCCCTCTGTACTTTCAAGACCCCCTAGCCCTCTGACTCTGGCCCTGTGAGCTAGCCCATGGGAGGGGGTGGGGTAGGGCTGGAGAGACGGGCCCAGGGAGCAGCTCGGCGCCCAGCCTGACCACACTCCAGGCCCTGGAGCGCCCCATCCACCCTCTCTCTGCTCGTCTCTGTCGTCGTCGTTTCCGGATGCTTCCATCGCCTTCGCAGGAGCAGAGCTGCAGCTCTTTCTCCTCCGGGACTGCAAGCTGGGTTCCAATCGCTGACCTTTGTTATAAGGGGGGGCTCATCCAACGAGGGCACAAGCTGGGAGGTAGTGCTCTCGGCTGCTAACGGGAAGGGTGGGCATCCAAAGCCACTTGGCAGCTCCACGGAAGGATTGGGTGGCCTGGTTCTGTTGTTGTGAGAGACTGTGGAGTCGGTTTAACTCATAGCAACCTGTGCACGACAGACGGACACACTGCCCGATCCAGCGCCCGCCATCCTCACAAGTGTCCCAATCATCCAGCCCACTGTTGTAGCCACTGTGTCCGTCCATCTCGTTGAGGGCCTTCCTCTTTTTCACCGCCCCTCCACTTTGCCAAGCATGATGTCCTTCGCCAGGGACTGGTCTCTCCTGACATGTCCAAAGTGCATGAGACGAAGTCTTGCCATCCTTGCCTCTAAGGAGCACTCTGGTGGTACTTCATCCTAGACAGATTTTTTGTTGTTATTGTTCTTTTGGCAGTCCATGGTGCTTTCCTAGAAACTCAAACACCAAATTCATTGCCAACAAGTCCATTTTGACTCATAGCGACCCTATAGAGTAGAACTGTCTCTGTGGGTTTCCATGGTTGTAAATTTCAATGGGAGCAGAAAACCTCAACTTTCTCCCAGGCAGTAGCTGGTGGTCTTAAGCTGCTGACCTTGAAGTTAGCAGACCAACATGTAACCCACAACGTCAACGGGGCTCCTCAGAAACACTTGTATGAGAAAAGGGAGGGAGGGACAAGCCCCCATCCCAGAGTGCCAAGCCTTGAGGGCAACAAACTGGCATGGAGCAGCGAACTAAAAGAGAGGATGGCAGGGCCAGGCCCAAGGCGAGCTATGTAGACCCCCTCCCCAGAAGAATGTAATACAGAGGACAGCACTGAAGATATAGCCCGGGGAGAGTGGTGGGTCTGTCTAGAGTACACAGGTGCGAACTAAGAAGGAAAGAGAGAGAGAGAGACAGACAGACAGACAGTGACAGTGGACCTAATCATGGCCCACCAATCCCCAAGGATGACATCCCTGCTTGGAGCAGTCAATGCACAGAGAGGACTGTAGGGCTGGCCCCACCACAGACAATGTTCCCTCACTGACCCATAGTGGTACAGGGGATAGCACTGGAGACACTGTGCAGAAAGTGTGCCCGGTCTGCCACACACACAATGGGGTGAAATTCAAAAGGAGTGCAACAGGGCAGCAAGGAGATCAAAGTAACCAAGTCCCCAAATAATCCTGAAAACAGACTTCTGATCAGGGGACAGGGTTTGGCACCTCATCAGACCCGATTGGAAAACATTCATAAGGGTCAGCAGACAGACCTGGAACTATCTATCGGTTTTTGTTTTTCTTGTCTGTCTATATAAGATAGGCAGGACAAACAATCCTGAGGAAAAAACAACGGGACCCATGGTGCAGGGGGTGTGGGGGGCATGGGAGAGGAGGGGGTAGGAAGGGGGAGTGGGGAGCCAAGAAACTCAGGGATAAGGGAACAACAAGAGATCTAAAATTGATGGTGAGGCGGGCATATAATGCCTGGTAGGGTTTGATCAGTGCCAATGTATCCGAGAAGGATTACTGAGAGCCGAATGGAGGGTGAGCATGATAGTGGGACAGGAGGAAGGTGAAAGGAAATAGAGGAAAGAAGTAGGAGGCAATACCTATTCATAGAGGTAAAGCTATAGGCATGTATATATGTCAATATATTAATTTATAGTGAAAGGGATAGAGGTCAATGTACATATATTTATTTAAGTATTAAGATAGGAGACAGACTTTAGACCTCTACTCAAGGCCTCCCTAAACACAAGAACACTCTGTTCGAATAACCTGGCACTCTTTGATACTCACCTTCCTGACAAGATCGCTGAAGACAAACTGGTTTCATAAGCAAATGTGGTGAAGAAAGTGGATGGTCCAGCTATCAAAAGATAGCATCTAGCATCTTAAAGGCTTGAGTTAAACAAGCAGCCATCCAGCAGGGAAGCAAATACGCCCACATGGAGGAAGCACGTCAGCCTGTATGATCCTGAGGTGTATGATACCTGATCAGGTATCAGGTATCAAAAGATCCAAACTAAACAATTATATCGATACAAAAGAAGGGGGGTCAGAGTGGAGACCCAAAACCCATCTGTAGACAACTGGACATCCCCCCAACAAAAGGGTTATAAAGAAGGAACAATTCAACCAGGGTGCAGTATAGCACCAATGAAACACACATCATCCCTCAGGAACAGTAGTGGGACTAGCGATATCATTAGGGTAGGGGGATGGTGGGGCTGGGGTGGAGAAGGGAGAACCCATCACAAGGTTGGATATAGCCCCCCCACCCCACCTAGGCACAACTAACAAAAATGTGGGTGAAGGGAGACAATGAACAGTGTAAGACATGAAATAACAATAATAATATATACTTAATCAAGGATTCATGAGGGTGGGAGGCGAGGGGGGGTGGGGGAAAGGAGCTGATACCAGGGACTCAAGTAGAAAGAAAATGTTTTGGAAATGTTGATGGCAACATATATACAAGTGTGCTTAATACAATTGAATGATGGATTGTTATGAGATTTGTAACAGCCCCCCCCCCCAATAAAATGATTAATCATAAAAAACAGAACAAGAAAGAAGCACTTGTAGGCAGTGGCACTCTGCCACCAGAGGAGAAGGGCCCTGGGGGTGTCGGGGGAAAGGGTGGCTTACCTTGGCTATGGCTTCTGCATTGCCCTCGGCCATCTTCCGGATTTTTATGAAGTTCCACAGATCCTTGACCGGCCTCTCACTTCCATGGCTGGCCTCCAACAGCTGGGTGGTGGAGGGCAGCTCCTTCATGGAGGCCAGCTGGGCCTCCACCTTGTCCATGCGGCTCAACACATGGTCAAAGACGTTGCCGATCCTCTTCATGGGGCTCGGGATGGGCTGGGCGTCTCCCTCCCGGGGTATGAGCAGCACCTGCGAGGTCTGCAGGAAGTCCTCATTGCCCGAGAGGACCTTCTTCAGCTCCCCCAGGTGGATGTGTTCCAGTATGCCCTGCAGCAGCAGGTGCAGGGCCTGGAAGTTCACCACCCCAACCTGTGGGATGGCGATATTGACCAGCTCGGTGTAGGTGACAGAGAAGTCCATTCTGTCTGTGGGGCTGACCAGCGCAGGGGGCTGGGAGGATCTGGGGACTGGAGGTGGCTTTCTGTGGTCCCTAAGCGCTGTAAGGGTGGGTCCTCAGAGGTGCAGGGAAGTGAGGAGTTAGGGGGAAAATGGCATCTGTCCTGGCTGGGGCTCGGGTTGGAGTGTCTGCTGGTTGCTAGGCTGCCAGAGAACATGGACAAGTGGGCGGGCTTCTAAGAACCAGAGGTGGGCAGGTGCTCTGGGCCCAGAGAAGGTGCTCAATTAATATTTGATGAGTGTTTGAATAGTGAAGTCTTATGTAAACTCTTGTTCACTTGAGACTGATGAACGCTTCCAAGGAGGGAGTGGGCTGGGGCTGGGGGTGAGGGTGGCCAAAGCTCTCCAGGACAGCAGGGTCAGGTCCTGTTATTGTTGTTAGGTGCCTTTGGGTCAGTTCTGACTCACAGGGACCCTGAGTACCACAGAACAAAACCCTGCCCGGCCCTGTTGCAGCCACTGTGTCCATCCATCTCCCCACCCCACCCTCTCCTTCTCCGTCTCGTGTGAGGTTTGAGGTTGTCCTGAAGGAGTTGCGGACCCAGCGACCACTCCCAAGACTTAGAGAGAAGCTGGCTCTGTGCAGTGGGACAGTGGAGGGCTTTGTGTGTAACACAGCAGAGCATGTGGACTCTTCTTACCAGCTGTGTGAGCTTGTGCCGGTGACTTAACCTCCCTGGACCCAGGTGTCCAATGGGTCCCTTCCAGTTTGACCCCATACTGAGAATTCTCCCACCCCCCCAAACAACAACAACAAAAAACTAAGCTTGCTGTCATCAAGTCAGTTGGCTCATAGTGACCCTATAGGACAGGGTAAAGCTGTCTCTGTGGGTTTCTGAGACGGAAACTCTTTAGTGGAGCAGAATGCCTGGTCTGTCTCCCACAGAGCGGCTGGTGATTTCACACGGCTGACTTTGTGGCTAACAGCCTAACAACGTACCTGCTACACCATCAGGTCCCACTCCCCACCCCCAGAAACACTGAATCAGAAGCTACATGCTTAACAAGATCCCGGGAAGTCTTGTAGCGCCTCTGGCGATCCAGGGGATCTTGTTAAAAGGTAGATTCAGAATGAACTGGCTCAAAGCTCAGCCCTGAAACTCAGCTAGCTTCCTTGCCTTCTACCTGAGGAGGTGGCGCCTTCTTTCTGTGTTGTGATGGATGGTAGGGACCCGCAGGCTAGAGATTACTGGAGAGGGTAAGTCAAAAAGTTTTAGTACAAAACCATAGGAACCTTTTACTCAACAAAAATACCAAAATGTGAAGCGCTTGTTCTTCAACATATCCTCCAACTAGGCCTGTCCACCTCTGAAGACCGAGTCTCCCAGTTCTCTGTGCCTTTCTGTTTGGCATAATGGATTATGCATTGGGCTACTGGCTACACGATCAGAGGTTTGCAACCACCAGCCACACCATGGGAGAAAGTCGAGGCTTACTGCTTGGGTCAAGAATTACAGTCTCGGGGGCGGGGGGTGGGGTGGGGGTGGGTGGGTGTAAAAATTAGTCTCAGAAACCCGCAGTTCTACCCTGTCCTACGGGGTCACTAAGAGTCAGAATCTACTGAATAACCGTGAGTTTGATTCGGTGTGTGTTTCCTTTCTAAAATACCTCTGTACTTCTCAGGGACTCAAAGGTTTTACTGGAGAAGAACGTGTACACTGTGCTGTTGTTGGATGAAGTGCTCTGCATACATTTGGACATTGAATTGGTTGCCTGTACTGTTTAGCTCTTTTGTTTCTTTACTGTTTCTTTCCTGATGATCTCTCCTTCCTTGAGGGTGGTGTGTTAACGTCTTCTGCTATTATTTTCAAGTTGTCTGTTTCTGTGTTGAACTCTATGAGACTTTGATTGATGTGTTTTGAGGGTCTTTCATTGAGTGGGTCTATATTGATTAAGTTCATATGTCAAAGCATGTTCTTTGGAATGTTCTTTGACCATGAGGACCAAGATCAGTTTCCTTGCCTTCTAAATCTTCTGAGGCAAGAGCAGGGCTGGAACCATGGATGGGGTAAGATTCCCAGTGTCTTGTAGGAGAGCCCTTGTGCCCTCAGAGAACAGGCAGATGCATTGTTGAGATGAAAGGAGGGGAGGGTTTCCTCAGTGCAACTTTCCTGGGTGTTTCTCACCAAAGACATTTTCAATTTGTTTAAAATGTCTTCATTGCAAACCCGTGATCATGATGACCCATCTAGAATCCCCCAAATTAGTTGCCAGAACTTTCTGAGCTGACCTTTCTGCCTGGATTGAACTGGCTAGCCCAGCAGATCCCCTTGGAAATGATAGTTGTTTTTTTTAATCGTTTTATTAGGGGCTCATACAACTCTTATCACAATCCATCAATTGTGTCAAGCACATTTGTACATTCATTGCACTCATCTTTCTCAAAACATTTGCTCTCTACTTAAGCCCCTAGCATCAGGTCCTCACTTTCCCCGTCCCTCCCCGCTCCCCCAGAAATGATAGTTTTAATCAAACTTTCTTTCTTTTTCTTTTGAAGGCACCCTAAGGAGACTAAGAAGAATGTGTGGCTGAGAGAACTGATCTGTGACCATCCACTGATGACAGAGACGTGCATTTTGGTTCGACACACGGCAGGATGCAATATTTCTTATTTACCCTCCGAGATTAAGTGCCTCGCCCAGTGTTGCCTCCATGGGTGAATTTGGTACACCCCCAACCCCACCCCCAGTTGCTGATAGGAAGGAATGAATGTGGGTGAGTGCACCCAGGGAAACGTTTTGAATGTACAGTCAGTGCTTCTTAAGGAACTAGCTGGGGTATCACATGGTGTGTGGCCCTGGAGAGAAATTCTCATCTGGTCTTAGCATCAGGAACATTGAAATTCTCCTGAACAACTTGGGGTTTTGTGGCCAATGAAGGCTGTGAATGGAATAATTCGGTCAGTTTTGTGACCGAATTGTCCCAAGGGCTGTGACTTCTGCATTGTTCTCAGATCCACTTTCAGGTTTCTGTCCTTGTTTCTGCTCCCCCCGGTGCCCCCCTCCTTCCCCCCCCTGCTGTCATGAACGGAATTGTTGTTAGGTACCATGAAGTCATTCTGACTCATAGAGACCTTAAGTACAGCAGATCAAAACAGCACCTGGCCTTGTGCCATCTCCATCACTATTATATTTGAGCCTGTTGGAGCAGCCAGGATTAAATTGTGTCCATCCCAACATATGGTTCATCTTGGACCTTGATTCTTTTCTCAGCATGATGTAATTATTGTCATTTTGTGATCTGATGTAGTTATCATACATATCAGAAAAACCACCACTGTGATGTTCATGAGGCCATTGGGGATACAAGAAACAGAATGAGGTTGTAGTTTGAGTCATCTTTTTTGGGACATAAAAAGGATGAAGACTTGAGTAGGGATCAAGGGACCTACTACCATCAAGAAATAAGAACCAGAAGCAGAAAGCATTGAGACCCAGGGTTCCTAAGCCAGGAACCTGCTAGACTTGGGGAAGATTGATGTCAAGACACATGAAGCTCTTCAAGGGAAGCCAGGCCCACATAGGTTAAAAGGAGACAAGGATCTTCCCCCAGATCCAATAGTGAGAGAAAGCTTTCCCCAAGACCCAGTTCCCTGAGAGCAAACGTCCAGCCTCCTAAACTGTGAGAGAATACACTTCTGTTTGCTGAAGCCACCCATCTGCAGCATTTGGGCTATAGCAACATTCTCAGACCAAACTCACTGCCATTGAGTCAATGCTGACTCGTCATAGCTCCCCCCTTGTGGGTTTTCCAGACTATAACTGCCAAAGGGAGTAGAAAACCCAGTCTTTCTCCAGAGGAGCTGCTGGTGGTTTCGAACTACTAACCATGCTGATTGTAGCCCAACACGTACGACTAGATAACTGAAATAACTAAGACGCCTGCTTTTCATTTTTTAAAACGTTTGTATCTTAAAAATGATGTTACTTTTGTTGTTGTTGAGTATGCACAGCAGGACACACGCCCGGTCTCCTGTTTCTGCACGAGCCACGCAGCGATGAGCACAGTCAGTCCTCACGATGAGCACACTCAGTCCTCGCGCTCCTGTGCTTGTTGTTGCAGGCCCAAAGAGCCTGCCTTTAATTTGGGAAATTTTGCTGTTGAGTGGGTTTGGACTCATTGCAACTCAGCCCGTGTATATCGGAACGAAACACCACCAGGTCCTGTGCCATCCTCACAATGTTTTTTTTTGTAACATCTCAATGCCTTTAGTTTATTGATACTTGCTTTTTGATGGATGTATTGTTTAGTGCTTTTATTACCTTAAAATTTTTTTATTAATTATCTTATTGGGGGGGTTCTTACACATCTTATAACAATCCATCATTCAATTGTATTAAGCACACTTGTATATATGTTGCCATCACCATTTCCAAAACATATTCTTTCTACTTGAGCCCTCGGTATCAGCTCCTCTTTTTTCCCCACCCTTCCACCCTCATGAATCCTTGATCAATTTTACATTATTGTTGTTATTTAGTGTCTTGCCCTGTCCGTTGTCTCCCTTCACCCACATTTGTTATTTGTCTCCCTCGGCGGGGGGAGGGAGCTACATATACAAACTTGTGATGGGTTCCCCCTTTCTCCCCACCCCCTGTCCCCATTATCCTCCTTCCCTCGTGATATTGCTACTCCCACTACTGTTCCTGAGGGGTTTATCTTTCCTGAATTCCAGGTGTCGAGAGCTCTTCTCTGTACCAATGTGTGTACAGTGAACCCTCGCCACTTCGCACTTCGACTTCCACGGCTTCACTCTATCGCGTTTTTTGCGTAACAGCGCATGCTCTGTCATTACTGCCACTGATTGGCTCATACTGTACACGCTTCTGTCTGCATCGCTATGTATCGGAGCTACGTATCAGATGCATTTTTGCTTTTGTACAGTGTACTGTAATTGTTTGTGATTTTTAAGAAATTTTATCTAAGCCCTATGATGGCTCCTAAATGAGCTTCTTCTTCTAAGCCTTCTGACAATAAAAATAAGCGCCAGAGGAAGATGCTCACCATCCAGGAAAAGGTAAAACTTTTGGATATGATCAAAGATGGCAAGAAAATCGTGGAGGTTGCACGCCATTTCGACTTGAATGAGTCTTCCATTCGCTCCATCCGTTGTACTTCATAATATAATAAATAATAAATGATAATTGTAACGTCCAAAATGTTTTACTGCATTTTCCCTTTTTCGTTTAATAAATTGGGTAATACGAGTGTAATGGTGACTAAAGGGTGTTTTTTCATGTCCTCTATGCTCTAACTACGAAAATATTTGATTTACAAATAAGGAATCCTACTTTGCGGAATTTCATTTATCACGGTAGGGTCTAGAACCTATTAACCGCGATAAACGAGGGTTCACTGTACTCTGGTCTAGCTGGATTTACAAGGTAGAACTGGATTATG